AGCGAAAAACAAGAAGCAGGCAAAAAAAACGAAGCGAACCATTCTCGCTGTGATACATCACGAAGCCGTCATATGTTTAGAGTATAAAAGACATCTATCCGGGCAACTGCTGGATTTTTTTTTTTCTTTTCTTTTTTTTCGGTTCTATAATGTTGAAAGCGCTTCGACAGCCAAAACAGTCATCGCGGCCGCGGCGATAAAGAAAAGTGGAAACTGCAAGGCAAGCACATCACTGGCGCCGCGCATGCTCAGATGTGGCGTATTTGCGACTGCAGATGTCGTTTGGGCTCTTACGCAAGTGACGCTTCGTCATTATGGACATGTTAGTTAAGCACTGTACTTTTTGTTGTACTATTCTACAATAAAAAAATTACTTCCTGTAGATAGGTGCTTCACACACTAGTTACACTTCTGTAGGTTAAAAAAAACTTAGCCCTTCTATAAAATATATTTATCATTTGAGTGTATTTTGACTAAAGTTCAGTCTGTTAATTTTATCACCTTGATGTCGACACTTCTGTTTCTTACTTCATTGTATGCATTAGCTTCAAAGCAGTCTAGGTTTACTAGGCATGTGGAAAATTTTGAACACTTTGAATATTTGACCTTGTTTCAACACAATTTTACTCTAGTCTAAATTGCGAAGTATTCGTAATGTATGAACAAACATATAGAAACCACATGTAACCTTCTGTAAAGGTGGTTTCACTTTAGATGAAGGGTGCGGTGCCATGAACACACCTTTCTAGGAGACAGTGGTGGAAATGCGCCAATTGCACTATTCTGCGCCAATATGACCTGCTGCACCAAGGTGCACAGATACGGCAATTTTCGCATACAACACCAAATTGCCTCGCCCCCCCCCCCCCCCCCTTACTACACATCTTTTCATGCTCATACAAAACGGGCGGCCTGTTTTCTCTCTTGTTGAGCATTCGACGGCAGGTCTAACATGCGGTGAGATGTTATCGCATGCGCCTTCCGAGAGACGGAGATGGGCTGGCTCGTTTGATCTCTGCTTGATCAGTGCTCATCAGCCCCGCTCATGCGCTTTGACTCTCGGGCAGAGCATACAATGCGCGAGGGATCATAACATTTTATTTCGTCTGCTGTCTAGTAATCCAAAACTCAGCATCATTTACGTCTGCTTTTATTTAGAGGGCCCCTAAACAACCTCTGACAATACAAAAAACGAGTGCGTTTATCTCCTGGCATTTTCTGTCCTTGCGACACAATGCATAGACTCCAGCAGTTTATTCCCATAACTTCAGAATGAAATAAGCTCTCGATTGGCCGATATATGAGAGATATCAGTTGTAAATTATCATCTACCCTGCTTTGCCATGCAGCCACATGCCAGTCCGGCTTGTCTCACATGGCTAAACAGAATTCACTTCGTTTTCTGCATTTACAACTGCGCAAACGGAGACAGCAGCGTGTATAGCACTTGCAGAAAGGGTAGTGAATGCAAGAAACTCCCGTCTCACCTTTGAACTTGGTGTGGTTTTGGTGCCCTTTTAAGTTACTGCTCTTCATGCCTAATGTTTAGTGTGTGTGTGTGTGTGTGTGTGTGTGTGTGTGTGTGTGTGTGTGTGTGTGTGTGTGTGTGTGTGTGTGTGTGTGTGTGTGTGTGTGTGTGTGTGTATACATATACATATATATATATATACATACATATATATATATATATATATAATGAGATATAACAGACAGTAATGCCAAGGAATGTACAGGGGAAGTTATTAACATTAATGGAATGTAAATAAGAAGAAAGAAAAGTGGATGAAAAAATTACCAACTGTAAGCAGGAATCGAACCTACGACCTTCGAATTACGCGTTCGATGCGTAATTCGAAGGTCGTAGGTTCGATTCCTGCTTACAGTTGGTAATTTTTTCATCCACTTTTCTTTCTTCTTATTTACATTTCATTAATGTTAATAACTTCCCCTGTACATTCCTTGGCATTACTGTCTGTTATATCTCATTATTATTGTGTTAAAAACACGGAAACGAGCCCTTAGGTATACACTTCTTTCCCTTATATATATATATATATATATATATATATATATACATATATATAGTGGGAGTAATAATTCAATGGGCCAGTTAGTCTTCGTGAAGGTATGGGATATGACACAACAGGAGCGTTGTCAACAAGGATAAATATATTTATTTCCCAACAGTCTCGGGAGGGGTCCTCCCTTCATCAGGGGATGAGTTATCCCCTGATGAAGGGAGGACCCCTCCCGAAGCTGTTGGGAAATAAATATATTTATCCTTGTTGACAACGCTCCTGTTGTGCCATATCCCATACATATATATATATATATATATATAAAATCATTTTGTGCTTAGTCGGGATTGCTTCATCAGTATGGAATGTTTAGTAAAAAACCACAGGAATTTATGTTCACTGGAAAGGCAAAGTTTCAATTGAAATTGATGCGTGACCCTAGGAATCTGCTCCAAGACACTGGCATTGCTAAAAAAACACACCTTTTGGTGCTCCAAACCTGCTCCAAAACTGCCCTTTCACTGCTCCAAAGCCACATTATTCCTGCTCCCCGAGCTGCTTCAAAGCACGGAAGCCCGCTTTCACCCGTGAGGTATAATCTGCTCTGCCGCTAAGCCCCACTTCGTTTCAATGAGCAGATTTCCCTCGCATCGATTCATCTTTTAAAGACGATAGTCTTTCTTGGGGACCTTCAACGAAAAAACTTTGATCTGTCTGTCTGTACATTTGTCTGTTTTTCCACCGTTGCCGTGAACTGGGTACTCCAAACAGCACCACCCGATCACTCGAATAGCCGACCCCATCCGCAGCGCCCACCAATTATGCTCAGGAATCAGCGTTCATACGTGTGCGATTGTCAATTAAGAAGCAGTTATTGTGCATATCTGAGGCATCATAACAACACGTATATATTCTGCATGTTCGTCTTTTACTAGAAAAGGCATACATAAGTAATTCTAAGTCACCGCAGCGCTTATCACGCTGCGGTGACCATGCAACGCTTGCACGGAAAGGCGAGTGTTTCCAACGCTTTGCTAAGAAGACACGGTGGTGGCCCCTATTCGTCGCCTTGCATTCTACACCTTATCACCTCTGAGACGGGCCCACACACCTGTCTCAGAGACACGCGCTTTGTTTTCAAAAAAAAAAAACTGCCAGATGGCGCTTATGTCTCACGAGTGGCGCTTCCGAAATACCATTCACCGATTTTCTTTCGCAGAACATCAAATAAATGTTTTGTTCATTCTCTCCACACGCAAGACTATCGTCTTTCGACGACATTTGCAGATTACATGCAGATACGGGGCCTTTTTTTTTTTTAATTTTAAAAGCTTGTTATAATGGCTCATACACTCTTAAGTATGGTAAATTTTTAAACGTAATGTGTTTAGCAGATTATAATTTGCATTCTGCTGAAAATCAAATCTTGCTGCTGTTCAAAGTTGCTTGTACTTTTCTTTTAACCAAAAAGAAAGACATTTACACATGGTTTGTTTCAAATTAAAAAATATTGTGCAGGTTATGTGGGTTATGATAAATATATATATATATATATAAGGCACTCAAGTGAAGTGTACGCCCGGACGAAAGCTGATCCCAGGCTGCAACGTAGGCAATAAAGCATCTTTTTTCGATTGCTCGTCCACTTCACTTGAGCATCCCTAGTACTACTGAATCCGGAAAAGATTTTCAAGATATATGTGTGTGTGTGTGTGTGTGTGTGTGTGTGTGTGTGTGTGTGTGTGTGTGTGTGTGTGTGTGTGCGTGTGCGTGCGTGCGTGTTACTGTTTACCCTCGTTGCAATGGACTGGCATAACTAGCAAAATGGGCCTGTGTTGTCCGAAGGCTGTAGTATCCAAATGCTGTGCAGGGTGGGGGGGGGGGGGATGTCGTGAATGATTATTTCCGTTTCGCTTTTGCTCAGCAGTATGGGGCAGGCTAGTTCCACTGGTGCATGTTGAATGTGGTTGACAGCATGTTTAGGAAACCCTTCAATCAGCAGCAGTGGTTATTAACGAAATTGCTGCATCAATTCAAAATGAGCGAATGCTGACACAGTAGATGCAGAGACGCTATGTGGCCCCGGCACTGCAGCAAGGGTTAGTCCGATAATAAGTTTCCAGCAGGCTTTGTCAGTAACTTCTCTTGATCGGCTTGGAAGAAATTCTTTATCTCGAATTCGGAAAGGCATATTTGCTATTGGCCGCTGGTAGCTACTGGTCCCGCACAGCGTCAGAGACACGCTGTGATCCAAAGTTGGTCCGAGAGTTCTGAACTGAGCTGCATTAAGGCACTGCTCACATTAATATTCTAATTTGACAGTGGCACTCCACCTGCTTGGAGCGCCAAATCGCCTTGCTTTTGAAACTTTGGTCACGATGCCTAACCAAGCTACCACAGTGAGTGACAAACATCCATCGAAAGATGCAAACAAAAATATTTCATTTACACTTCGCTCAGAAAGGAAGTTGTGATAAGAGGTTATGAGCACCCTTGAGCAATGATGCAATCAGTTATAGCTGCATTCCAGTCAGCTGCAATACGTAAACCATCAACATGACCTGCGTGTACTTGGCCGGAAGCCACCAGTGTTGCCAGCCGCAATTCAAAATTATCATGGCATTAGTGCGCAGAATGGCGTAGTCAAGTCTGTTTTCAGCCCGCGTCAACACAGCAAAAGTAGTTTATGCGCCCAATTTTGCAGAAAAATGCCACAAATTTTGTCCACTGTAGTCGATAGTACATTGTATCATAATCCATTAAAAGCGAACTTGACTTTCACTTATGATACAGATTAACCTTAGGCTGAATAATGGTCCGTTGTATGCGAAAGTATGTTGTACGAGGGTCCATTGTCATGAACATACACTGTATATACTATACGAATTCTATTCGAACCTAATATTTACTATTAGCACACGTTTAAAGTCTATGTGAAAAAATAAATCTGTAATTGTTTATATTTTCTTTTCTTTTTTTCAGGAACGTAGTGCTAATAATGTACCTGCTATTCGCAAGAAGGCCCTTATGACTCAGAACGCTGCTGTACGGCCCAAAACACTCAAGCGGACACGCAAGTTTGTAATTGACGGAGTTGTTATGACAACCACTACCAGCAAAGTCATCTATGGAGACCTTGATGAAGACAAACAAGCCAAAGATTACCATTTTCTCAGGCAAGTTTGGGTATGCACCTGAGCATCAGGCATGTCGTGCTGTGCCTAACCTTTTGTCTGTACTAGTATTTTATTAATGTTCCTCACCTGGTATGGTAGTTTAACTGCCATATCGTTACACCGCAAAGCTTAGCTGCCATAGCGTTACACCGCAAAGCACAAGTGCACAGTTTCATTTTCTGGTGGTGGTGACCACATGTTGTTGGATGCGCAATGTAAAAAATGCCTGTGTACTTCAATTAAACTCAGTCCCAGCATCTCAAAATTTATCTGGAGTCCCCCGCTATAGCATGCGTCATAGTCATATCCTGGCTTTTGCGTCTACACCCTCAGAATTTTTCTAGTTTTTGTTTGGGTTCTTTCATAGCTCAAGTCAGCAAGCCTGTTTTACTTGCTAAGCTGTTCAAGACGTAAAGTTCATTGTACTGCTCATGTGCACTTTAAAAATCTCTGCCACGTGAAGGATTGTGAAGTAACTACAACTAAAGTTTGTGTACTAATATGGCGTGACAAATTGTGACACTTTTTTAAAGACGATAGTCTTTCTTGGGGACCTTCGAGGCAAAAATTTTTGTCTGTCCGTACATTTGTCTGTTTGTTTACTCTTAACCGCATCAGGTACTTTAAACGGTCGACCCCATCCGCAGCGCCCACCAATGTTGCTCAAAATTTAGTGTTCATGTTTGTGCAATTGTCAATTAAAAAGCAATTATTGCGCATGTCTGGGGCACCATAACAACATGTATATATTCTGCATGTGCATCTTTTACTAGAAAAGGCTAACATAAGTATTTTTGAGGACTGTAGCACCTATTACGTTGAGCTGACCATGCAACGCTTGCACGAAAAGGCGTTTACAACGCTTTGCTAAGACGAGACAGTGGTGACACTTACCCGTTGCCTTGCGTTCTACACCTTATCACCTCTGAGAAGGGCGCGCACACCTGTCTCAAAGCCACACGCTTCATTTTCCAAGAAAATTGCCAGATGGCGCTTATGTCTCACGTGTGACGTGACTTGATGCACTCGTTCGCCTCCGCTGCACACTCGAGGCATTTTAGCACAGCGCCTCCAGAATACCATTCACCGATTTTATTGCGCAGAACATCAAATAAATGTTTTGTTCACTCTCTCCACGCGCAAGACTATCATCTTTCCACGACATTTGCAGATTAACACGCAGATACGGGGCCAATTTTTTTTTTTCTAAATAGGTTCTTAAAAACGTTGCTTACTTAAGATCGAGGCGTACCGGTGAGGTTAGGAAAGAGTTAAGGGGGGACACGGGTCTTAAAAGGCCGAAACATTTTCGGAATCTGCAACTATTTTTACACTTATCTGAGAAGTTTCAAGCTTCTCGCGTCATTATTTATTGCACAAAATGAACTTATAACACCCCTGTGAGATGAACCTGAGCTCAATTAGACGCTAAAGTCGCGCTTTTTTACGCCGAACCGTTGCCGTTACACACGAGTTATCGTGGTCATCTTGGTTTTGTTTGGAAGAGTTGTTTTTCATCTTCAATTTCCTGCCACCAGTGGCTCGCCTTGCTCATTGGTTTTTCAGCAAAAACGCGTCATCGAGAAGCACCACCGCGCGATTCTATTGGCTGCTTGGGGCACGTGACAAAACCTAGGCACCCGATTAGCCAAGTGGCGTTTCCGACATCTGCTTTCTCATCGTGACGCGCACGGGCATGTGCCATTTTGTCATGGTTCTGTCGACGGCCTGCCGCAGTTAAGAAGTTCCTCGCCGCACTAATTTGTGAAGCGGATGTGGCGATCGTTCGTTTGCTGTGAACTTCAGAAAGAGTCCCGCTATCACTCAGGCGAGAGAGGATAGCAAACTCACGGCGTTCAATGGCAGTCGCCGAGTCACCGGTGTAGGCCTAACTCACATACGAGCCCGTCGGTTGTCGAGAACGTCGTTGAAAGCGGCAGTGTTTTGGAGCTTCAACAGTTACAGAACAGCAAGTAAAAAAGCAGAAGTGAAACTACGAGAGATAGCAATCTTTGCTACGATGGAATGGAAATGTAGTCTTATCGCTAAACGCGCCGATGCCGCGGGTTCCCCCCGTCTGACATGAACTGCATGACGGGTCGCCAGAGCGGAGTTCGTCGCACGTCGGCAAGCAGCAGGAAACCAATCCGTTTACGGTGAACGTGTTCGCGGCCCGCGCAATGAAGGCTTCTGGCAACAGGTAGAGTGCTTGTAACGACGCGTCCGCAACGATGACATATTGCACCGCGGCCTGCACTCTAAAATGTGGCAATCTTACATGAAAAAGAAACTAACACCTTGCTGCTCTTGGAGCCTTGAAATTGATGAGCAAGTGCACGAGTTCGGTCTGCCACATCAACAACTCAATCTGGACAAGCCGGAAAGCTGCTTTATTATAGGACGAATAGCGGATTACGCGCGCACATTCGTCGCACATAGGTTTCACCGAACTGGTAAGCGGCCTAGTTGGCAGACGAGCCCAAGGCGACCGCATCAGCTCGCAAGTGTGTCTCTGCCGAAAACATGCAGCGGGCATTGAAAAAAAAACGCCATTTAGGTGACGCATAACAGAAGGACTATATGCCTGGTGCCTACTGAGAAAGCTGAATTTGCAAATCATTGTAAATAAACAGCTTTTCTATGCTACTGTCTGCCCAAAATGGACTTGTTGTGTTTTTGCATGATTTCTCAGAATTCACATTTTGCTGCATTTGCAAACTTGTCTAAAATATATCTCTGCCTCCAGAGCAGCTAGGACTTTCATTTTTGTTGTGGCATGTAGCTAAATCTTATTCACACCTACACAATGGTAGGTGTGAATGTTTGATTAAGATCTTCAAAAATTTAATTTTTGCCAGAAATTGGAGCATAAAGTAGGCGTGTCTGCAACACTTAAGTGCAAGGTGGAACAGACCTTCCTAAAGTTATCAAATCAAAAAAAGCACTCCTATCGTTGTGTAGCTTATGTTCATTAGTATACAGGCATGTGCCAATAGTAGCTCTGCAATACAAATTTTCTGTCTCATTATACCGGCAAACAATAGTTAATTTTAGGATATCTCAAAAACTAATTGGTTTAGAGGAACAGTAATTGCATTTTTGAAATCAGCATCAAAAACTCAATCACAAACGCATGAAAATATCTGACATTTCGTCTCAAGTACAGTGTCCCTCCTTAAGCAACTAGTTCCCACCACCACTTTTGTTTTCATGAAATGGGTAAGCTTTCTATTTTATCTTAATTGTCTGCATCACCCAGTACAGTTTAGACCGCTTATAACATGAGTCGCGAATATCCGCACTATAAGCGACACCGCACTAGAACCAAAACAACCATTTTCAAGGGCCGCACTTGCGCAACATGTTGAGCATACACTATTGCGTGTCTGAAAGTCTAAACATGGGATGCGTGGTGCTTACAACCATTTCAATTCACGAATGTTAAAAAAAAAAGGTTTCACCCCCAAAGACATGCGTTGCCTCCGAAATTAAATCGAAAGGGGGTGCGGGGGGGTCTAACAAAAGAAAGCAGAATTGCGGAAATTCACCGACCATTTCTCAAACCACCTCGATTATGTGCATGACACAGCAACTATGTCGAACCACGTTTGGAATTTCACGCACTGAAAGGCACGAAGCATTTGATTTCATGGACGCGCACCCGATTTCAAGACGTCGCAATCGAATCGCGAACCACCATTCAAGCGTTACACATGCTATCCTCGTTTTCATTAACGATATATATCCCTTTACGTCAAGTACAGCCACCGTAGAGTTTCGTTGATTCTTTGCCGAACCGCAACTTAGATAGCACGCGACCTCTACAGAAACACAACGAACGCCGCTTTGGCCGAGCGTGCCGTTCGTTATGCTGTTGTGGGAAGTTTGTGCAAGACATGAAGATCTGGTGCAGAAAAGATCGCACTCAATCACTAAACCAAGAACAGCGTGCGTGATACGACGTTCGCGTTCGTGCCCGGGAGATCAACAACGAAAACCTGCCAATCTTACACAAGACAGCGCTCTGGCAGCAAAGGCCAAAGCTCAGGTCATAAAGCCGGAAGAGGTTTTAAATTTACAGGCAAGTTAGCAAACGCGATATTTGTGGCAAACTCGATAACGACGATGCTTTTCCTAATAGGAAACTGTTAAGCGCAGTTGATAAGTACGGGATCGCACGTGCCAAGTTGAGTTGGGCACGGCCAGAGTCACGCTAGTGGCGCTAATGCACTGTAGTCACGTCGACACTGATACAAAGGCTTATCCGTCGCCGAGGCAACCACCCAGCCACCCTCCTTCCATACTCAACGGGCACGAGCAGTGTGCCGCGGTCTTCTTTTTTTTTTTTTTTCGCACTTTATTCACTATGTGTACCCTCCTCCTCCGGAACAACCTTGTCTTTCTCTCTGCAGCAGGGCACCTACCATGCCTCCTTTATGACACATATCCACTACCGCGTTTGTCCCAACAATTTTCCTGCACCTTCTTTATAAACGGTCTTTCATCTTGGGGGACTGCACAATAATTGGCATGCGTATGCATGGGGTTCTATGGGAGGGTGAACGGGAGTCGAAAAAGACCGCATTGTAACCGATTCTTCACTATAAGCGGTTATGTTATAGCTGGTCTACTCTGTATATAGCAGCACCCTTTTGGCACATCGAAATACGCGTTTATCACTCTATTTTGTTCTGGGTAAAGTAGTAATTGACTCAGTGTAGTAGTACTTATCTCAGTCTGTATTGAAGCTTTACTGTCATTACACTAATGCACCTGAAGTGCAAGTCATGCAGGAGAACTCTTCATTTATCTGTTATACACCGTTTAAATTACTAATATTGTCGTACTTTGGCAACAAGAATAGGCCAGCCAGACGCTTTGAATTGTGAAATGGCTCCCAATTTTCCAAACATCCAAATTGATTCCCTCTTGAACATTACCAATCATTTTCAAGGGCATACTAGCTAGCGATAAATTTATTTGAGAAATTTATGCTTACA